ATCCCTTGTAGAGGACACAGTCACCTAATATAGGTCTATCCCTTGTAGAGGACACAGTCACCTAATATAGGTCTATCCATTGTAGAGGACACAGTCACCTAATATAGGTCTATCCATTGTAGAGGACATAGTCACCTAATATAGGTCTATCCCTTGTAGAGGACACAGTCACCTAATATAGGTCTATCCCTTGTAGAGGACACAGTCACCTAATATAGGTCTATCCATTGTAGAGGACACAGTCACCTAATATAGGTCTATCCATTGTAGAGGACATAGTCACCTAATATAGGTCTATCCCTTGTAGAGGACACAGTTAGCTAATATAGGTCTATCCCTTGTAGAGGACACAGTCACCTAATATAGGTCTATCCATTGTAGAGGACATAGTCACCTAATATAGGTCTATCCCTTGTAGAGGACACAGTCACCTAATATAGGTCTATCCCTTGTAGAGGACACAGTCACCTAATATAGGTCTATCCATTGTAGAGGACAATCACCTAATATAGGTCTATCCATTGTAGAGGACACAGTCACCTAATATAGGTCTATCCATTGTAGAGGACATAGTCACCTAATATAGGTCTATCCCTTGTAGAGGACACAGTCACCTAATATACATTATTCTACACGTGAAAGTTCAGATCCTCGTCTGCGGCTCTCTTAGAACATTTTCTTCAAAATCATATATTTTTCTTAATATTGACTGAAATTGTGTCATTTGCTCTCAGACAGAGATCTAGAATCCCCTATGGAGGCGGAGTCTGGGAATCCTCCAATCAGACATCTGCAGAAGATCTCCTCTAGTCATGCACAAGGATGTCTACCAGGTGGGGTGACTGTAGACATGGCTAACATGGGGACACCGCATCTTACACACATGGTACCTCTCATGGGAGGCCGGACACGTCTACAAAACGAACCCAGGCGGAGGTTCTTTCCCCAAAGGGAGGCCGCAAATAGGAGGATGAAGAGACATCCGGCATGGAGAAGGAATGGGGAGGAGCTATAAGACTTGTCAGGAGGAGAAAAGAACCCACCAGGGGGAGATGATCGCAGTCCAATCGCGGGATCATCCTCAGAGGAAACTGATGCCTCTGATCTGGGAATTGGCACCGGCGGTACGTGGCCGCCCTTCCCCCTCCCCCACCATTTGTCCCCACCCCTTTGGGTGTACAAGTGGAACACGGCCCATTGGAGTGGTGTGCCCATCCCCCTATGTAATATATATATATATATATACATCTTGCTCTGAGGCTCTGTGGTCTGGAAGCCATCTTTTATTTTTTGGCGGCAGAGCGTCAAAGAGATGGATGAAGCTCCAGTTGTTGGCTCTGAAGGTGAACACCAAATATGTCCATGGGCTGCCATCTTTACCCGACCAAACCCAGAATATGTTCCCTCAGGTCTTTTCCATGGTCACCATATTCCGTGGCAGGTTTGTAGCAGCAGCAGCCATGTCACCAATGACTGGGAGCGGAGAGAAGAACACGGCTCATCATGGGAAATGTCACCGAGGTGGAGGAGGCCATTGTGGTGGCCCTATTGGGGCTCTATGGTTCACTGCTAGGCATTGGCAGCAGCGTCATTCCCTATACAAGTCAGTGGGATGAAGCTTCAAGAGGACCTGTCAGTTCTCAGAAGTGTCTCAAATGTGAAAAGGAATTCACTTGAAAGTAAGCTGTATTCCCCCATCAACACAGGGCCGTGCACCCCTCCTACACCCACCAAGCTCCCTCGAAATGTCGCTGCATATCGCCCCATTGATGACACCTCCTACAGACACTTCCATCTGATCTCCAGGAAGAGGAGGGGTCTGGGATCAGGAACATGGCTTCCACAAGCATAAGATGATTGCCGCCTGTTCATATCTCTGCGCACCTCCCCCATCCTGACCCAATAGATGGACCATCCAGTAGTACCAGAGCCATGTACCTGTGGATGGGAAGACTGCCTGTGTGTGTCCCAGGACTAGTCTACAGAAGTCACATCTCCTAATGGCGTCTCATGTCTATGACTCTTCAAAATATCCCCCCAAAACAACGACTGGCCAACCCGGGGACCCCCCCAACTATAAAGTGCGTTTGTCACATTTTCCCCCAATCCTGCGCACCATCCAGCGGGATTACCAAGCTCTAGTGGAAGACGATCTTACCATGGAGGACCCTTTCCACACCTGGAAGAAGATGACCTCTGAACTCCCTCTATGTGCCATTGACACCTTTCTATCTGATGACCTCAAACTCTGATTGGCTCTTTCTAAATGCCGGTCACTGCTCTGTCCTTGCGGGGTTCCTCCCCATCTCCTACTCATCCCCCGTGTATTACCCTCCAGATAAGGTCACACTTGGTTCTGAATACAGAGAAATATACATCTCCATCTCTTTGGTCTTTCAGTAGCTCTGGCCGCTGACCTCCACCTAAAAACTTCTGGAGGTTGTTCAAGAATCAGAGGAATGAGAGGACAAGTGTCAGTGTGAGCAGCAAGAAGAAGATGCCGACCACAACATCAGGAAGAGAGGACAGGCAGAGTAGCCACGCCACGTCTAGAAGGTTCTCCTCACCTTGTATGGTGGCTCATTATGCTCATATGTGTAATCCAGATCATAGGTCTGAGGTATGGAGCCCGAGCTCCCTCAGTATTAGGGTCCACAATGGGACTGGTAGCATCCACATAGGTTGAGGACCTCTGTTTGTAATACATACGTTGTGTTCATGGAGGTCTGGCTGCTTCCGGTTCTTCAGTCTGACTTGTAGTTAAGAACGTTCCGGAATCCAACGTCAGCGAGGAGACTACAATGTTCAAACGTCAAAGAAAGCTTAATTTCCACATTCCTTCTTCAGCAGCACAACGTTCCTCCCACATTGTAATCACCAGGACCAGGACATGGACCGTTAACCAGGACCAGGATCAGGACCAGCACCAGAATCAGCACCAGGACCATGACCAGCACCAGAATCAGCACTAGGACCAGGACCAGAACCAAGACCAGAACCAGGACCAGAACCAGGACCATTCTTATCTAGCCGATATCAAAAACCCAGACTGGTGAACTCCATACTACAAGTCTATGAGAGGACTACAATCAGCCACCACACAAGGTGAGGAGAACCTTCTACCAATTCAGAGGAACATTCTCCCAGACTCTTTGATCCTTTATTTGCAGAAGAAGTAGGATCCCTCAACCCACGGCTGCAGGCTGAATCTCTGTATAAAGGGGATCACATGGACACCATACATATACGAGTCTTCTGATACACGTCACTCAATGACCTGGAGCAGTCATGCAGCCAGTGAAGTCTGAATTCCTTTCCTCCATACTGGTGAAGTAAGGACGAGGATGACAAGAACTCATGGAACACGAGCGATGCCAAACTGATGTCACTGAAGCCGAAGCTGACCTTTCACCCTCCTGCCCGGCTACAGACAACGGCCTCCAATGGAAATGTCTTTCTCCAGCACTGATGTGACCCACACAGCAGAGCCGGCGGCCAGGAAATCCCCCCCC